TTCTCTAGAATTACAGTGATTGCAGAACTTGTGATGTATTACGGTTCACTGAAATTCTCCGTCCTCGATATTCACCTGCCTTGGAGTGAAGATTTAAATGTCATCTCCTATTCTTCTCAGGAATGAGAACCACGGGTAAGCAGGGGGAAGATAGGGACATTGATAGGGACGTTTTGTTTCAATATTTTCACAGCCAGCTGAGATCCCTTGAAAAGGCCATTTTACTAGTAATGCATTTAATAAGTTGTAACTGATTGCATCTGTTTCTGCTCTTGACAACTGCACTCTCAGTGCACACGTTCTTTCCTGGGCAAAATAAAAAAGCAAACGGGAGGATTCAGAAGGTGTTTTCAGGCACAGCAGGTTAGCTGGCTATCTGCAGTTGTTCAGGGAATATGCTGTGATTAGTTGAAGTAGCTACGTTTGTTATACTAATTGCCAGCGCGGGTGGGATGGCATGCAATCAAACCTATTTTTAGGTTTACTAGCACAGTAAAGAAATAGCTTCTTAGGTCAGCGTGCTCAATGGATGTCATTTCTTGGTGATTTCATTTGCTCATCTCTCTCAATTTCAGTCATACAAAAGCTGTTATTCTCTGCAAATAAACCAGAGCAAACAGAAGCGTTGTGAGGATCAGCGTGTGAATGGAGTGGAGAAATTCAGCCCTAATGCTGTGCAAATACTGCACTCATTCACCCATAGCTCAGCTAGGTACCTTTTCTTCCTGCGATACGCCTACACCAGGGTTGCAAGCTCTCCTCCTACCAAATGGCTTCATACGTGAGAGGAACTGCTGCCATGAGCCGACTATCTGAAGTGGTGTTGGCATATTGGGATTAAGCCAGAGATGCTCAGGGAGGGCCTGCTACAAGCACTGTGCTGCTCACCTCCTTCCCTCCTGGCAGCTGTGCCATGGGCTCAGACCTGCAGCGTTCAGCCAAAAATAGAAAATTGCATCCCTTTCTGCACAGTGAATTTTACAAAAATGGATTGCATTGTCACCAGTTGATAAAAAAAAAAAAATAAATAATCAATCCCAAGGTGCTATTGATGGAGCAGCATGCATGCTCATGTGATCGTGAATATTAGCTTAATTTGGGGTGAGAATTTGCAGGAGTTTTAAGGTGAATTCGCACATGTCACCAAATTGTCATTTCCATCCCCAGGAAGGAAACAAAGCGAGCATGGAGAGCAGCAAAAAGCCTTTGCTATCGAGTGTGTCAGCACATACATGTTGTGTTTGGTAATGCTGGTGTGCATGGCATGTGCTGCTGTTACCGTTGTTCCAAGGCTCAACCAAAAAATTTTGCAGCAAGCAGAAGTGGTTGTTTGAACTGCAGACCTTCGTTAATAAGAGATGGACTACATTTGTCTTCATCTGCTTTCACTCCACTTGTATTATTACAAGTCCTGCTGGGGAATGTTGATGTACCCAAGAAGGATGACGACAAAATACGCATTGGACATACAGCTTTGCTTCACAATGCCTTTCTGTAGTGAGAATGAAACAAAACTGTGACTTCATTTTCATGCAAGCTTCCGCCCAGCTGACAGGCAGCATGGCACAGCGATGTCACCGTGCAGTGGTGGGTTTGGGGCACCAGCTGTTGCCCCACACTGGTTCTCAGGGTATTCAGGTGAAGCTGCAGCTCTAAATAGTGCCTAGGCGATGTCATGTGATAGAAACTTCCATCAGTTCTGAGCATCTTGCAGCTCCAGATTTGACATGTAAGTGCCGCTTTTCCAGAACGTCTTATTTTTGGCAAGCAATACAATAGGACATGATTTTCTGCCTGTGGACGCTTCCATCAAAGGTACTTTTCTAAAATGAATGGACCTTTCTGGTAAAGTGCTTTTGACCTATTTTATCACCAGCTTAAGATGTTGCCGATAAATAAGATGCAGCCAAATCTGTTCTGTTTATCTGCAAAGTTGTGAAATGAACTGTGGTGCTGGAAAATCTCTTAAAATTTGAGCTGTTTAATGAGTTAGCCTCCACTTATCTCCTACGTGTGTTCTTTATGTACAGGGCATGAGAATACAGCAGAATTTTGACTCGTAAAGCCCCTATATGGTTTTCTTTTTCAGTTGGAGCTGGCAGAGTTTGTTCCTACAGGAAAGAGTTTGCAGCAGTGCAACACACAGCTCACAGCTGCAAGTGGCTGTGCTGCTGTCACACTCCTGAGCAGCCCAGCACCTGCAATGCTCCCGCCTTCACTGCAGGTAAAGCAGACCCTAAAAGCCACATTCAGGTCCAAAATTGTGTTGGGGAGAGAACTGTGCTCCTTCAGACAGAAAAGGCACTGGGGGGAGGTGGTGCTGGGAAAATGAAGGTCTGTAGAAAGGACTGAGGACAGCAGGGAAATGCTGTTTCTCTTAGGAAGCCCTGGCCATCATGGCTGTCCTGTGACTTCAGTATCTGTTCTAGGTAGAAAATATTATTTAAAAGCTGAACAGTTGACTTTTTGTTTGTTTGTTTGTTTGTTTGTTTTTCCAATGGAGTTCCAGGAGCAGCATACCCCAGATGTAGGCAGCTGCATATTCATCCCACAGGAACATCACGTACCCTTCTGGGGGCACCTGACATCTGATCTTATGGTGCCAAAGTTGCCCCGGTGATGCTTTTCCTGTCTCCCAGATAAAAGTAGCCCACAAAGTGCCAGCAGCTGTCTGAAGAAGCACCCCAACCAGACCAGCCCACTTCCAGACCCTGACCACCAGCCCACTATAGCAGTAAGGACAATTCCACCAACTCCAGCATTTCTGTATGGAAATATTTTAGCACCTTAGGGAGGCAAAGCTAATGGATGGTGCAACCTGGTCGAGTGACTGCTACAGTGTGTGTGAAACGTCTGCCAGGGCCGAAATCTTTTCCTGCAGCCCATGGCCATGCCTCCCCCCCCCCCCCCCCAGCACCCACCCACAGCTCTACAGAGACTCTCGGCACTTTATTTCTTTTTCTGCTCACATTTAATACCACAGACACAGCTGAAACTCAAAACGCTTACGTGACGGTGGGTGCGGGATCGGTTCATTTACACAGACATGTAATGAGTGAGCTCACGTCTTCACAGACTCCTCGATTTCTTGTTTCCCTGAGTTGTGTGATGTCTGCCACCAGATCTGCTTGTCAGCTGACAGTGAAGGAAAGAACAGAATGAACGGAAAGGCAGAAGTGGTCAGAGATGAAAGGGAGAGAGGATGCCATGGCTGCTGCTCTCCTAAAGGGCTCAGCCCACACCGGAGCCTCCAATGAGGTAAGCCTTGCTAGGCTGCCCCTCTACAGCTTCCATCTGCTGCTGCTCCTGTGGTTTGCCCCCGCTGGGACAGGCTGCAGCCGCCCAGCCCCACCAACAGGTACAGAAGGGGCCAAATTCTCTTTTCACTTACACCTGAGCAGCACCACCAGCAAAGGCATAACAGGCAGAATGTGGCCCATAGTCAGCAATGGGAGCTTAGGAGCAATAGGAATCTTGTGGACAGACAATTTATGTAGAATCAGTTGTGGACCAGCTGGTAATAAATAGTAGAACCAAATAAATAAAAGCTGCTATTGCACATGCACACCCTCAAGCTCTATTAGCTGGACCACAACATCTATGTATAGGTGTGACAACAGATGTGATATAAGGCATACAGATTAGCATAAAGTGTGGAAGGTTTTCTGGTTTGATTTGTTTTTTTAATGACATACTTGAGTCACAAAAATCAGCTAAATTTAAGATATTTATGAATCAAGTATGAGAACGTGTCTGCCTGTGGGTCTTAATGTATATTTTCTGAGTTTTGCAGGTCTGAAAGTAAATGGATGTGATACTGCAGTACACCAGTGCTGTCACAGCATGGGCTCTGCTGGCACATAAGGTGCTCAGGACTGACTGATCCCAACCCAGGGCATCTTACAGGCAGACCTGTCCTCAGGCTGCAGTGTGCACAGGCACCAATACTGGGACAGCCAACAGCTCCCAAGTTTGGGTACAGTGAGTGGCTCACAGTCAAGTCAAGCAGAGCAAGTAGAGGTGAGTCAGCTGGTAAAACAAAAAGATGACTGTGGGAGGTTGCATTCCCAGTCTTCACAGCATCACTGCAGTCCCGAAGGCAGCACCATCCTTGTTCCACTGATACACATTCCCAAAATCTTCCAGTACAGCCAGTTTTATGCCACTTCGATGAAGATTTTTTTTAATTTCTATTCACACATGATGTGAGGGACATTAATTTAAGCATATTTGAAAAACTGCCCATTTTTATTTCTCCTTTTTGGAACTTGTTTTAAAAATTGAAATTATGAAAGGTGTATCAAATTCTATGATTACTACTTCAAAAACGGAATTAAACGGAATTAAATTTTCCTTAGGGTCTGGCTATATATTAGCAAAATTCTTAGCAAAACAAAAGTTAACTCTGGAAAACTTCAGCTCGTGTTTAGCAGTTACCAGAGCTGCATGGGCTCTCAGTGGAGCCAGGCTATGTTTGCCTGTTAGAAATGAGGAAGCCTGGCTCCCCTGTGATAAAAAATCATGTCATAGAATCATAGAACGGTTTGGGTTTGGAAGAGACATTAAAGTCCATCCAGTCCCAATGCCTGCCATGGGCTGGGTGCTTCCACCAGCTCAGGCTGCCCAGGGCCCATCCATGCCTTTGGGCACCTCCAGGGATGGGGCACCCACAGCTCTGGGCAGCAGTGCCAGGGCCTCACTGCCCTCTGGGTAAAGAATTTCCTCCCAACATCCCACCTAAATCTGCCCTCTTTTAGTTAAAACCGTTCCCCCTTGTCCTGTCACTATCTCACCAAGTCAAAAGTCGCTCTCCATCTTGTTTATAAGCTCCCTTTAGATGTCATATGGACAAAAGCAGCAGACAGATATCACTTGATTGTTACCAAATACTGTAACCACGCGTCTCCTTTGATATTCTCAAAGTGTAGGTAATTTTTAAAAATCTTTCACTGCTTATGTGACATCTCCCAACAAATGCAGGTAAGGACACAAATGCAGCTTTCCTTGTCGATCTGTGTCTTGCCCCACGTCCCCTCCGTGATGGCTCTCTGGTAACACTGGTGTGTGATGCTCTGGCACTGGACCCCGTGTCATGTGGCGACGGTGGGTTCTGTCCATGCACGTGAGCTGTCCTGCTTGGTGCTGGAGAGTCTTTTCTTTGGCAGGGCTTTGAATCCGAAGAGCCGGCACGCGGCAACGCGGTACTTCTTAGACATGATGTTGTAGAGGATGGGGTTGATGGCTGCGCTCAGGTAGAAGAGGACGAAGGACACCAAGTTGCAGTACTGGCTGATCACTGCTATCTCCAAGGACCCGGCTTCGAAGGATTTGGAAAATAAATACCGTCCTACGTGAAAAGGCAACCAGCAGAGTATGAAAGCAAATACCACCACAACTACAATAAAAAACAGGAGAAGAAAGTGTGTTAACTGTGAGTAGGAAAAAAAAATAAATGAAATAGCATTCTCTCTTTTCAACCAGTTAATCTCCAAGTGGGAAAAAGCACCCTGTAACTTTTCAGGTTTCTCTCAAGTAGATTTTCTGGCAGGATAGATTAGCAATACTTAAACTGATTGTACCTAGGCAGCCTGCCTGTATACTGCACAGCTACTCTGCTGTAGCAACACACCTGAGCTATCAAATCATCTTTTCCATAGAGGAACAGAGTTAAAGAATTAGAACACTGACAGAAATTATAATCTACTGTCTGCACCCACAAAAGCAAATTATGTGTAACGATAGACTCAACGCTGTGGTTTATAGTGAAGCATTTAATCCCTGGGAAGCAAAGTGGTTTAAGACAAAGGCCAAAAGACAAAAAAACCCACCGCTGCCTGGATCTGTAGGGCACATCCAACAGGGTAACAACAGGCACCCTGCCCTTCTGCCTGGGCATTGGCACACGATTACTCCAAGCACAGGAAAGCTACATGCAACTTATGGCATACTCTGCAGCACACAGCTGAAATTCAGAGTATCTGTTTTCCTGCTCTGCATCTTCTTGAGCCTGACACTTGGATTTTTTTTTTTGCAGTTTCTCCACCTGGGAAATTCAGATCAAGTTTCCATGGCTTGTGAGCATGCTCTGGAGTTTAATCCATATGTTGATTACTACCACTGCGGTCATTGTGTACAGAATATTGAGCATAGCCTATATGTTTACAAGTAAGCATGCATATCCCTCCTAACTGGGGTTTTGAGAATGCAGTTTGATCCTTACTTGTGCAGAATCCCATTGATTTCAAGAGGAATGGGTTATGGTAGCTCCTTTCAAAGTCAGGCTGTATGTTTGGGTGTTTAATTACTATCCTAGAGACATATAATCTTTCTGCAGTTTAAAAGAAGTGATGCTAATCCCATTTAATCGATGTTCCATGACTTGCTGAAGTCTTAGGAAGCGCCTTCTGGATTTCAGGCAGAAAACTAAAAGCAGTGAGAGCAGATTGCATTGTGCATCTGCTGCTATTGAGCCTTTACTCTCTTTTTTTCTTTCTGCCCAGCATCAGGCTGTTTTCATTTGCAGAACACTGGCTTTGCCAGAGGAAGAGCTCACCCCTGCCATGCTGTTCCCAGCCCTTGCAGAAGGAGAAAAGGTGTCTGAAATACTGTAGTGCTTACAGCAATACTTGGGGGCAGAAATAAGCACTTACTGTTTTGAAATTCCTTACAGTTAAGTATGCAGATAGATAAACATGGCAGTAGTACATGCTGGCAATTTACTTATTGTAAATAGAGATCCATAATCCTGAAGCTCTAGCAGCGTGAGTGAAGAATTACTTCCAAGGTCACGCTTACCCACCTGAACTAATTCTATTGATTGTAAAACGTGGCTGAAAGGGCTCAAAGAATGTCACAGGTTTTATTATTTTTGCTGCTTGATGGTAGTACTACTAAAGCAGGGCACTCAGAAAAGGTCAGGTAGGCTCCTGTGTATATATATTATTTTTTATATATATATATGTAAAATAAAGCCCCTTAGGGCACGCTGCCATTTCTCCATCTGGCTCATTAGCCTTTGCAGTGGCACCTGTGTGAAGCTTCCCAGCCATGCTGGGATCTGTCAGAGTGAAAGCACACAGCAGTGCTCAGTGACCAGGCATGGATCTGTGCAGCAACTTTGAGTTCTGTGCAGCCAACTCCCAGCACATGCTTGTCAGGAGCTGCCAGCATCCCTGTGCTAACCGTGCTCTTCTGTGTGCCAGCAGTGTCTGTTGTTTAAACCACGCGGTGGTGTAAATACAGGACTGACAGCGTCTGTCGTCTCCGTCCTGTTACCCTGAAGTCAGTGGGAATTTAGGGGATTACAGACCCTAACGGAGATGAAAGGGTCACTGTTCAGCAAAGGCTACTGCTTTTCTAATACAAAAATAAGATCACTTTCCACGATCTTAAACAGCCACACTGCTAAATTACCCCAATTTGCTAAAAATGCCCTTTCATTTGAAAGTTGGTGCACATCATACCCTGCTTGCTTAGTCTGTGGCTAACTTTGTGGGTTTAGAAGAAGTTAGTTTGAAAATCAAATAAACTACCCTCTGTAAATAACGTTGGTATCCACAGCCAAAGATGTTCTAAAAATCTCCAGGGCAAGAGCTAATTGTAACGGTGATATTCGTCTTTGTCAGAGGTTGTTATTAAAACCTCCTTAACTGTTTTAGAGTCCCCAGCACCAACTGGTTAGAAATAAAACTAAGGAAAGGGGAGAGCTGTTCTGCAAATGCCTTAAAGTGGAGCCCTTTGTGGGAAAGGTTTTAAAACGATGCTTTCCTTTAGAAGCAATGAAAGTGATCTGGCACTGCTCGGCTCCCCTCTCTTGCACACACAAGCACACACACTTGCACACACAGAGCTCGGGGAGCCATACCTAGCATCTTCACAGTCTGCTTGTTGTTCTTGTCCCTGATGACAGTGCTCGGACCGATGTTCTTCCTCTTCCTCCTCCAGAGCTTCCTCCCGATGAGGCTGTACAGCACCGTGAGGCAGAAGACAGGCAGGAAAAAGAAGATGCTGGAGATCCACACCATGATGGTGAGCAGCCCCGAGCGGATGGCGTACTCCGTGGCGCGGCACTCATTGGTGCTCAGCGGGTTGGTGCCGTTCTCATGCTCAACACCCACCAGGACGAAGATGGGTCCAGCGCTAATGAAGGAGATGGCCCAGAGGATGAGGATGACCAGCTTGACCTTCCTCTTGGTGATGATCACCTTTGCTCGCAGAGGGAAGCAGATGGCGACGTACCGCTCCACGCTGAGCGCGGTGATGTTGAGGATGGTGGAGTAGGTGCAGCTCTCGCTGATGAACTGGAAGAGCTTGCACAGGAGATCCCCGAAGTTCCAGGGCCGGTACTGCCACAGGCGGAAGAGGTCCAGGGGCATGCAGAGGAAGATGAGCAGGTCGGAAAAGGCCATGCTGGACAGGTAGAAGTTGGTGGTGGTCCTCATGTCCCGGAACCGCGACACCACCAGCATGGTCATCAGGTTGCCGAGGACCCCGACGACGAAGAGAAGGACGCAGGCGACGGTGATGCCGGTGAGCACGGGCGCGGGGAAGAGGTGCAGCGGGAACTCGCCGCCCGTCCTGTTCTCCGCGCTCCCCTCCCGCATCGTGCCGCCGCGGGCTGCGCATCCCCGCGCGGAGCCGCTCCGCGCCCGGACCGGGGCTGGGGCAGGTGCGGGAGGCGGGGACGGACGCGGCCCCGCTCCGCCCCCCCTCCCCTCCCGGCCGGGGGCCGGTCCCTCCGCGCGTCACTGCGGGCGTAGGCGCTGCCTCCGCGGGTGCGGAGCGGCTCCGCTCTTTGCGGCGAGTTTAGACCGACGTGCGCGCTCCGCTCGTCCTTCCCCTCCGCTCCTCCTCGTGGGACGCCCCTCCGTGGCCGGGCGTCCCCGCAGGCTCCCACCTCCTGGCCGCGGTGCGGAGCTGCCCTCTGAGCTCCGTCCTCACGAGCTTGCTTTCCGCTTGCCGTCGTCGAGGCGGTGAAGGGCGATGGCGTGCGCTCTTGCAGCAGCTGTCGCTTCTGGGACGGGTCGGTGCGGCGTTCTCCACGCGTGTAAAACCCGAGATGCGCGGGCTGACGGGTGCGTGGGGACAGCGGTGGGCGCGGGGACGGCTGCGGTCACTGTCCGTCGTTTCGTTGCCCTTGGATGTTGGCAGGAGCGCGGTAAGGCTACAGACGGGTGAAGCTGCAGCCGTCGCCCTCTCTCTGATTCACCTGCAGTTCCGTTCTCGTTCAGCTTGGCTCTGCGCTCCGCAGGCACATCCCTCGGGGCTGCTGGGCTCCCCAGCTGCAGCATCCCGCATCTCCCTGAGACTAATCCTGATGCTGTGCCCGCGAGCCCTGGCTGAGGGAAGGAGCTCAAGGTGAGCTCAGGGGCAGAACAGGGACCCCCCACCACCACCCGTTTTCTGAGTGCACGCTGGCATCTGGCTTAATGCAGCGTGGAAACAGAGCTTGGTGCTGCTTTTCAAGTGCACGCACACATACGTATGCCCACCATCTGCTGGTGTTGCTATTTCACAACTGCCAGGCTTTACTGAAGAACAGAGCAGGGTGACACGGCAGTGCCTGTTGGCAGCTGAGCACTTTGCAGCACTTTCCGTAGTGATGCATTAGCCTTAGTGCCGTGTCCGTATCCTAATTTCAGCAGGCTTTGCAGCTTCATTGGAGTCAGTATTGGTCGTTCCTGTTCTTGCACCGTGAGACAGTTTCGTAGCAAGTTATTAAAATGCTGCTAAATCTTATGGAGTATAGCCACAAATTAATTCATTTGGGGAAAACAAAAAACAAAAAGGAAGAGCCTGTCGTCCTCTCGCTTTGCTTATCCAGCTACCCATGTAACTGCTTTACTCATTTCTTGTGGAGAATCGTGGGCTGTATGCCACCAGCACCCAGCTATTTCAGTATTACAGTGTTGATTCTGACCTAATTTAAGTGATGTATTTGTATGATAGAGCAGTGGGCAACTGTCCCTGTTTAGAGCACCCTGAGTTGAAAGGAACCCATAAGGCTCGTGGAGTCTGGCTCCTGGAAAGCTGACAAATAGTTCCAGTTATTCTGAAGATTGCTTTCACTCTTCCCACCCCCATACATTCTGAGGCCAGTGGCATTAGCTGCAGGACCTGGAGGCTTGGCAGAGCAAAGGGCCTGAAGCTGTGGATGTGACCGTGCAGAGAGCAGCCTTTATTCTCATGAAATTCCTCCCATTTTTGCTGACTTGTATCTTGTCAAAAATGACCATTTCCCTTTCCCTCGGGAGACAAGAGCTTCAGTCTTTCAGACAAATCTTGTCCTTTCTTAAAATGGTACTTGAACTGAGGCGGCAGCAGATCTCTATTCTCCTGACAGCCCAGGTTTGTAATGCAGTGAAATAACACTTAATTCGCTGGGAGTTTGATGCCCTGACCCACTTGGATCGGGGATTGCAGTCCTTCTTTGAATCCAACAGCTTTGCTGTCCTGCTTGTTCAAAGGGGTTCTGAAGCATGATTTAGGAGTGGCTTTTCCTTCTTAGGGTCAGTGCCAGAAAAAACAGCTGAGAGCGAAGAAAGCAGTCCCTGTTTTTGATTCTTTGGATACCGAAGGCCACATCTTAATGGGGCATCAAGAACTGAAATGCCACCGAGTTGGTGTGATGATGAGTTCCTGCATCTGCTTCGCATGTACTGAAGGACAGTGATGAGAGCAGATGGAATGGCTGTGAGAGAAAGTGAGTCCAGGCACTCATCTACCTGCCCTCAGCTGCAGGAATGGTATTTTATGTTGCCTTACCAGCCACAGGAAAGATTGAAATCAGTAATATAGCTGGGATAAGAGAAAGAGGCAGAAGACAAGGACGTTTTATGCACAGGTTTATCCACTAACTAAATGAACAGCCAGAACAGACATTCAAAAATACTTCAAAGCAAAACGAAGCAGCATTACGGGGGACACTTACCTTTCAGAGAGCTGTTAAAATATTGCTGCTTCCCTTCTGCAGCATTAGAGCTGTACTGCATGCTGGAGGTGAGGTAGAGTTTCTGTTGACTGTGTTTTGAGATCTCTCTCCTATGTTCCATTCTTTCCATTCACTCTTCGTCCAATAAAGTTTTAATCCCAGTTTATATTATGGTTTGTTGTCATGGAAATATCTGAGAGAGATTTATTATGGCTTTCCATGCAAAACAGACTTCAAGGGAGAGATCTGCCATTTAGAAACGATGCGTCTTCTACAATCCACAGAAAAGCATCTTTTTTAATTCTATCTAGGAGCAGTTCTTTGACTTTTATTGTAAGCGTTGTATTTTAAGACCAGGAGGTAGCAGCTGGTGAGTGCTCTCAAAAGTTATGGTTTAGTACCTCTCAGCAGTGAGCAGTGCCAATGGAATAGCTGCTGAAGAACCGCAAAGTGCAGAAATGACTTTACAGTTGTTTGTATGGAAGTTAACATCTACAAGCTGACTTTGAAATGCTGTTAGTTAATGGGCTAGCAAAGATGTGCTCTAACTCACTGACTCAGAGACATCCATTTTAGGTTTGTCTTTTCAGTGTGCTTCGGCTCCATGTGCTGTTAGGTCACACCAGCACGAGGATGCTCCTCTTGGGCCACTGATGCAGAGAAGGTTCCCCAGCCACAGCTATGTTTGTTCTGTGTCAGAAGTACAAAGGGTTTATTAAATAGCATATAGCATGAGAGTAGTAGGAGATGAGTCCTGCATTTTTGCAATGTCACTGGGTATTCAGTCCCAGGCTCTGACTCAAGGCTGTCCTGGTTTTGTTCCTGGGGGCAACAGACACCTTTCTGGTGCCGTAGGACAAACAGCCCCATAACAGAAGCCTTGCAGTCGAGGGGTGGGGATGCTCACCTGACTCACATACGTGTACTTCTCATAGTATGCCCTATGGCTTGTGTTAATGCTACAGTGTGCAGGAAGGGATTCTGTACTTGTTCATTCTTGGTCATGCTGTCCTGATGGTACTTTGGTTTCTTTGTGTAATGGGGAGCAATAACCCGCCTGAATCCACCATCAGATCTGCACTTCATCCTCTCAGCCCTCATCCAGAGGCTGTAAGGCATAAACAAGGATAGCTTTGTGCAAACTGAGAATTATACAAGCTGAAGAATTCAGTCAGATAAAATCAAGTGTCTTGAAGAGGCATTTGTTCCTTGCATTCTGTTGTCTTCGCATTGTTGTTTTCTAAAAGGCAGTTGAACCTTGGATGTTTGCTCACATAGCAAGTGTTACACGTTCTGTGTTCAGTGTTACCTGCGTCACATAAGGAACATGAACTAGGTTAGCACTGACAGAGCAGCCAATGAAAAGGGCAAGCTGCCCTTTTCCTACCTACCCCTGCCCCAACCTGCTGCTCTGCAGTCCTGAGCACCCGGTGATCAGACAGCATTTGTAACAGCCCAGCGTCCAACCCGACGGCACCTGGAAGGCTTTCCCAAGGAACTAATGGAGATGGCAGTACTGGTTTAGCAAAGCTGCAGGAAAGGGAGCAGGAAAGGATAGCAGTGTGGTGCTCCAGCACTTCGCAGGGATGGATGTGCTGTCAGGCAGAGGAGAATGGGTGGTTTTTGTTCATGTGAGGTAATGTGTAATTTCTGTCTGATTGGATGGGAGAGTTCTGAGGCAAACAGCTACAAATGTCCGTGTTACCTACATATAAAAAAGTCCAATCTGTGAAAATTGGATCAGACCCCAAATTATCCTAATCCATCTTCTATTTCTATGACTGAACGGAACAAGGCACCTTGGAGGAATGAGCGAGTTCTCGTTCAATGTGTTAGTTGTATTATTTTGATCATTGCCTTCAGACTTTCCTTAGCCCCAGAAATGTCATGTCATACGTATGAAGTGTAATTAGAAATCCTAAAACCCAGGGTCTGAGCCAGGATTCTTATCTATTTGCACAGAGTACAAGGAATGCATCCCTGATCCCGCCTGGCCAAGTGAATTCTGCTTCGCTGCAAGCAATAATAACCACATTTACTGAGGCAAAAAAATAGCAGTAATGAAGCAACACAAGGTAAAATAACAGGCAGTTAGCTGCTAAGTCCTCTTTCCCATGGAAACACCAGAAAAGAGAGTTGAAATAAAAGCAGTCTCTACAAAAGGGATGGTTTATTCCCAACCCCTGTGGGCATCCCTGTAATATGGGGCGCACTCATGGGGTTGGGCTGCTGTTACGGAAGCCAATAAACACCACAAGGCTCAGTAAGTATTTACTAAAAACGTTTTATATAAAACAGACATAGAAAAATTACAATCCTTATATGTTTACTGCAACCCACACCCATGTATAAAAATTTGCTACATTCACCATTCATCACAAAGTGAGATGAGAAGTGTGACTCGGTGCAAAAGTACAATCAGAAGTTGATGCATCTTTCCATTAATCTTCAAACGTGTCCTGCCAGACACCGCTTGAGTCTCTCTCCAGGATAATATCTGGCAAGCAGGCCTTTGGATTATTCAGAAATAAAATGTGATTATTTGGTATGATCTTCTGCTCTGCATGCAGGACCTAAGAATAGGTACAGTTAGATTTAAAAAGATAATGCCCAGGTGAGTTTCCTAAGCAAAGAATTCCCAATCATAATACACATTGGGAGCCAGAGAGAGAGCACTGAATAAAGCAAAAAGTGTCATAGTGTGTCTTCGTGTCAGCTGCAAGTGTATGAGGTCCCCCACGGATCCCTTCTGTCAGCCCACAGCTGCTACGTTACACCGATTGATTCTTACCCACACGGAGGGCTTCTGACTCTTAAGAAAGCACTGGAAATGCTTTTTCACAGTTCAAATAAATCTCTTTCAAATAACTTTAAAAAAACATTTTTAACATAAATTGTTGGGGAAAACAAAAAAACAAAAAAAACCCCCCACACAAAAAATCCACGTCCAAGTGAAAAGATAAGCAGCCACAAAAGTCAGGTGTCAGTTTTCCAATGCAGCAGCATCTCATTGTGTTGGGAACTGCTCTGTTCCCCCCATTCTTCTCTGCTACGCAAAACAATTTCTGAATTAAGCCCTGAAATCGGGAAAACAACTCCAGGTATGTTTTCTGTTCTGTGTCACAACAGACTTGAGTCGGATCCAAACCATGTACTCTAGTAAATGATGGAGAATTTCACATATTTGATTACCGCTGAAATCGTTATATATGATGCTGTGTTGAAACAGCAGGCTGAAGTTTGACTTGTCATTTCAGGCTCACACCTGTGTTTCTTTGTCCTAAGACAGAAGGAGGGCTCTGCTGAAGGTCTCTGCTGTCATGAAAGTCTCTGCTATTGAAGCCACCAACCGCAGGAGCTCAGGTGAGCACTGGCCCTTGTGCCCCTTCAGTGCCTCTTGTTGACAATGCAGAGATGAACGATGCCTGTCTCTCTGTGCACGGTGATTTAATTACCACAATGGAAGGTGAATGGGAAGGTTTCCACAGCAACCTTAATATATTTAAAAAACAAACAGGTTTTCTCCTGGCAATACTGCCAGGAGTGTTGACTGAAAGTAGCACTTGCAAAGCATCTACCTTTTTCCTCTTTGTTTTTTTTTTTCTACTTTCCTCCTTTTTTCTTTGGTTTCTCTGAACCTGGGCAAAATGCACCCATGATGCACATTAGTGTATTTACAACGACACTGCTGCAGATGTGCTCATTTATGCCCATCCAACTTAGACTCGCATCCAACTGCAGTCCTGCTCATACAATTAGTGGTCAGTTCAAATTTCAAAGAAGTTATGAAAGCTTTTCAACCATTCCTACAAGCAAAATAAGCATCAAAACAGCATCATCTGAACTGTAGCTGGTTAAGCATGGATAGTTGCATATGTTTTCCCTAAAACATTAGTCATCAGGCTGTCATTCTGCCTTGCACCTTTACATAATCCAGGCCAGTGCAAGCAAACATAGAATAACTGTGTCATGCTCAATTTGTGGCAAACGTCAAATAGAATTCAGCATTTAGAGAAAAACACTTTTTTTTTTTTAAATCAAGTACTTGCTGTCAACAAGTGTAACTGCATTACTGAGGCTGTTGGAGGCATGGTGAAATCTTTGTAGTACAGCAATTAGGTAAATAGGCGCTGTAATGTGCTGATCCCAAAATATTGATTGATTTCAAAACCTCTCCTGTGCCCTTTCAGCAGCTGTTTTTACGTGCGATGTACTGATTGAGACAGAGCAGTGTGCTTACTCAAGCCACGATCCTGGAAAATGCTTAAGCACATATTTAATTTTAAGCATGTAAATACCCCAGGTTTATTCAGACTGTGTGCGCTTAAAATTAATTAGGTGCTTAAATGCTTTGGGAGATGAGATGAAGACGTGCAGTGTGAGCTACCCATGGCTTTTCCCTTTTGGGAAACTGGTTTCAACAGAAACTTCCAGAATAATTCCTCTGGGGACTAGGAAGGCTCCTAGCAGGAGAGATACAGATGACAGGTGGAACTTTCCTCCAGCCCCACCAGCACCCAGAGCAGCTCCATGGTACCTGCAGGACACAGCATGGCACTGGGCCACCTGTGATGTGCCCAGCTCGTGCCACACAAAGCACTGCCAACCTGCTGCTGCCAGGCTCCTTCCTGGCCATGGCAGTGAGGGAGTGAGTGGAACACGGGGAGCCTGGTTTTGCTGCTGTTGTTATGGCATCTGCTTCGTATCCTGTTCTACAGAATTGTGGGTTGGTCCTTGCTTTGCTTCCTCCAGAGCACGGTTTTTGTCTTTTAACCAATCATAAAGGCTCCAAAAAAGCTTGCCTCCTTGTCCATGTCAACTATATCACTGTTACTGACCGAGACAAAAATCCTGTCCTCCCTTTTCAGCTGGAACACCCCGCCCTGGTAGATGGAGTAAAGTCCATACTCAGCCTTTTTGGACCAGCAGCTTGTTCTTGCACTTTTCATGAGCAGAATGGGATCTGGGTAATTGGTCAGTTTGTAAATGTACTGGACGAGCTGCTTGGGATTCCTTATTCGTTCCAACAAACCCGAGTCCTCGTTCTCATTTTCGCGGAAGCGAAAGTAAGTCTGTGAGTAGATGTAATAGAAGCCTGTCTGGGGCACCACCAGCTCACCATTCCACAGCTCCACGTTGTAGAGGAAGGAGTGGCCTCTCCTCGACGACTCCCAGCTGTGGATTTTCTGTCCGATGCCTCTGTGGGACAAGTAATCTACTTGGGAAAGAAGAGAGATGTGAAGTTAATAGCCTGCACGGCACCTGCTGTGAGCAGACACATAAGGAAAGCTGCCCCTCCCAGAGCAGTTCGTTAGCTCCATCCCCTCAAAACAATCAGGAAGTCCACAATTAAGCTGTTCAGCATTATGTGAGAATTCACACAAACTATTTTTTTTTTTGTGTGTGCTCCCAAATAAGAGAAAAGCCAACGTGCTGTTACTTGGTAACAAAGTTAAAACATCAATTTGTGGCTGGTACCCTCCGAGCTGATGAAACCCCAAGAAGCCTTTCATTAGCAAGGCCTGAATGTCACACCTCCTTGCCCATAGGTCTGTCACCATAGCAGCTGGGGCTTGCAACAGAAGGAAATTAAATGAAAGAGAAGAGGAAAGCTTAACATCAGGAAGAGAATTTCTGTTTTATCCAATGAAGATTCCCAAGAAGTCAGCGAGGTACCAAAGAGAACAAGCCTTCTTCCCATCCTGTGAGAATCAAATGATGGCTGGTGTGGAGGGGATCTCAAAAATCATCTAGTTTCAACTCCCTGCCGTGGGCAGGGCTGCTCTTTTCCAAGCTGAACAAGCCCAGCTCCCCCAGACTTTCTTTGTAAGCGAGGTGCTCCTGCTCTCTGATCCTCTTCGTGTCCCTCCTCTGGACTCACTCCAACAGCTCCGCATCCTTCTTGTGCTGGGGGCCTGGACGCAGCACTCCAGATGGGGCCTCAGCAGGGCAGAGCAGAGGGGGCAATTCCCTCTTTCTCCCTGTTGGCAGCCCAGCATACTGTTGGCCTTCTCAGCTAGAAGAGCGCACTGCTGGTTTGTGTCAAGCTTTTTGTTCACCAGGACCCCAAGCCCTTCTCCACAGGGCTGCTCTCAGCAATTTCTTCTCCCAGTCTGTACGTGTATCTGAGATTGCACCAGCCCAAGCACAACACCTTGTATGCAGCCTTGCTGAACTCATTAGGTTCACGGCACCCAGTTTTCAAGCCTGTCCAGGTCCCTGTGGATGGCATCCCCTCCATCTACTGTACTGACTGCACCACTCAGCTTGGTGACATCCATGAACTTGCTGACGGTGCACTCGATCCCACTATGTCACTGATAAAGATGTCGAAGAGCACCAGGATGGGCCACTGGGGGACACCGCTTGTGAGCAGCCCCCACCTGCAGTGAGCTGAAAAACGCAGTGTGTGGGACAAGGAGACTCGTGATTTCAAGGATAAAAGCCTACGTTAACTCCAGCTACAAGTGAGAGAGAAGCTCCAAGACCACTGTGTGAAGGCTGCCCCTTACTGTGTGGGGATGTGGAGCTCCTCTTGCTGCTGCCCGTCAGGTGTGCTGCTATCCTGAGCGTGGGGCTTTGCGGCGGCTCATCCCTGCGCGGCAGTGCCTGGGTCCTGTCACCTACATGGGGATGAGAAACAGGGTCAGCAGTGAGAAGCAAGGAGGTAAGGAGATGTGTCTATCCCCTGCTGAACACGGCTGTGCTGTCTGGCTTTAGGTTTTTAGCTGGCTACATCACAGAGCGAACACCCTTGGCTCGTCCCCAGGCCGGGCACCTCACTGCCCCTCAGTCCCCTTAGGACCGCCCTCCTGCCCTTCTGAAATAGGTAAGCACTGTTCCATGCCCTGTGTAACTGCACAACACCTGAGTCCACCCGAGTTTTCTGGGTTTTGCAGCATTACTTGTCACTATCCCCATTTCAGACACCACCAGCAGCTCCCTTTTACCACAATTAATAAAATTATTGTAGTACCGTTGATTGCAGATACGTTTTCCTGAAGGATTCTTGACATCATCTGCCAACAAACACAGAGAAAACTCATTAGCTTGTCAGCAGAAAGTGAAGGATGCAGAAAACTCTCCTTTTCCCACTCACAAGCACATGCCATTCTGAATTTGATCAAAGAGCTAATTAAAAAAAAAAAAAAAGCATAGTAATTTGTCATAATGAATTATTTTATATCTTTTATGCAACTAAACCCTGGGGAAAATGTTTTCAAGAGAGCCCAGCCATCTGGGTTTAAATCTCTTGCAAAATCAGACCCTAGTGCTTTTCTTAAATGAGATGGTGAACAAGGACCAGATTCCATTCACACCTTTGGCAGTGCTGCACATCTGTGGGATCTTGGCCCTGGGAAATGACATTTCATTTAATACCCCTACCTAAGTTTTTAACTCAGCATATCTTCCTTTGTGTAGCTCCCACCTTTCCATTTGCTGAGTGCTGGTTACCCGCAGTGGTGCAGCAGCCCTGCTGATGCTCTGGACGGTTCATCCTGGCTGACAGACACTGCCCCTGGGTTGCAGTCAGCTGCCTGCTCTGCCTCAACACATTTCTCACTACCCATTCATCCACCCATGCAAAATTTATCTCCAGCAGCACCCAGGAGAGCTTTTTGCAAGCAAACAAGAGCTGGTGGATAGGTCAATCTCTAAACACAATGTTTTCCTCCTGCAGGGACTTCACTGGCAGAACTTCCACCAAAGGAGACAAGATTTCAGAATGCTAACAGAGGATCCATTCTGGGATGCAAGATTTGCATTCAGGTAAGTTTCAGCCTGAAGCAAATATCTATGCACGAGAGGAGCTCTTCACGTGCTGGAGATGAGAATCTGAAAACAGTTCTGATTTTTCAGCCAGGCTCATTTTCACTTTCCACTTCATCCTGCTATTAGCATTCTTTACATGCTTTAGGATCTAAATTCTAACAGCACCACACTCCAGCATATCAGCTCCCAAATACCTTTTTAATTAACTTTCCCAGGTGCCACTTCACTTGCCAGCAGGGGTCAGCCACTCTGTCTTTGCTTTCCACCACGTCTAAGTTCTGCATGAGGTCTCCCAGCTCCTCCCCAGTCAGACAAGCAGTGCCACTCTTGGAGTACGTGTCCCAGAGCTGCAACAGGAGAACAGCCATCATTTGTCACCTGGGATCTGCTCACAGCCCTCCAGCTGGGGTATGTCACCGAGCTCTCTATGTGTAGGAGCATGCTTTCTCTTCTTACACATATTTGCTAGTATGGTACAAGTGATGACTATAGAGACAGAATGAGTAATTAATCCTGAGTTTACGTATTTATTTAATTACGATGAGGTAGCTAATATGCAGAAATACATTTATATTACCCCCATGGATGTGAAGTATCTGGGTAACCAGGATTTATGTGAGTATCCAGCACTCAGACAAACTTTGTGAATATTCAGTACTCAGATTAATGTCGTGAATTTGTCCCTTTCTGTAGTTCTGTGTTCAAAGCATTCCTTTTGCACAAGGGATTTTCTTTCACAGATTACTGAGGATGAAATCAAGTATCGAACCGTAGAGGCATTTTCCATTTTGTTTTTTTAGCCAGTGCCACTTACAACCCAGGCTTTCTCTTGGGGCTATCTATAATGCATCCTGCCCATATCCTGCCTGGGGTCTGTGTTTGACCTAAAGCCCAGAACAAAGTCCAGACAACAGAGATAAGATCTGGGTCCAAACAGAATTATAATGCTGAGTGCTTGTGGCATGGGCTTATGTCTCTGACCTCTAGTTACAGAGGGTAATGGAATTCTTTGATAAAGAGGAAAGGGCAGCAGAAGTGCTGATTCCTGGGGCATCTTGCAGTAGGAGATCTGCCCACGCAGGGCTGGGTGCAGGGTTGAGGTGAGGCACCACTGCTGGTCAATGTAACCAGCTGCTGTATGCCCACATCCTGCAGTGTTGCACAGCTGCATCCTGCATCAGTTCTAGGGCCTTGTGTCAGCATGCAAAGCATTCACCTGGACTTCTTGTCACATTTAAGTGCCACTTCTCTTCTGTTAAAAAGTTCTGCTTAGTTTGCTAAACAGATGTGTTTGTTCAGTCTGCAGTGGTTTCAGAGCTCCTTAAGACCCAAAAGCAACATGGGGCCACCTCCCCCCTTATGCTCCTGTTTGTTTAGCAAGAGTTTTCCCTTTCCACCAGGCTTAGGAAAAATCCCCTGCAATTCCTATTGCCTTGTTCAGCCCCTTCAGGTTGCAGCAGCACTCAGCTGAGCTGACCCTGACCCCTGGAACACCTCTGTGCTCTGCAGGCAGTGCTGAGAAAGTGCCCCTGTGAGTGCTGGAGAAGGTTCTTAGGTCAGTGCTGAGGAATGCAGCAGTATTTTAAAGTCAGGGCTATTGTTTCAAAAAAAGTCACCCAAAGTGGTTAAAATTGTGTGATTTTAAGGAAAAGTGGCCCTTGGAGCTAAGGGCTCTGATGGATTTAGCCATGCTGCTCTGGTTCAATGAGTTTAACAAAAACAAGTTTGCAGATGGAGTACTACTGTTGTTCTCTCACCAGATGGGGCAATGCTCAGCTCCAGGCCTCTCTCACGTCCTGAGGCAGACAGCACTGCACCTCTGCCTCTCCCTCACTTGTTCTGATCCCCCAATACTTCACTTCTCTGCCACTGCAATAGCGTTTTCCCTCCACTGCGAAATCTTCAGGGCATGCAACTTCATACCAGAGCCCACAGGGCACTTCAGGGCTGGTGTTTGTCTTATGGGCAGAGAGAAAGCAAGGAGCAATTTCTCCAGGACTCACCCAGATAAGGCATATCTGCAGCACTGAGTCTGAGGACACGTCCTATAAAAGTGCCCTGTTATCCCTTCCTGCCCCAGGACCGGGGCTGTTTTCAAAACAAGGAAATGTGTGGCTATTTTCTTTGCAGCCCACATCCTACAGCACCGTGAACTTTATTGTGCTCATGCCTCCTCACTTCCTTCAATAGCAAAAGTGCTAAAACAAAAGGGTGGATCTGAGCACTCAGGTCGGCTGGGGAGGGAAAAGCCACTGTTTTATGTTGTTTGGTAATGATAAAAATATCCACAGCCTTAGGAGTTTGGTGAAGGTGCAGAAATGTCAGTCTGGAGAAGAAGGCAAACAGGCAGACGAAGTCCTAATGCATCCCTAGAGCTTTATTCCACGTGCACAGTGTGGGGGAAGGGTAGCACCCCGTGCTCCAGGTTCGCCTTCTACACAGTTGTCGTGCACAGGGTGTGTGCCCGAGGTTCCTCTGCAGCCAGGTCTGCATGCTCAGTGCAGCCTTGGAGCTGTGCAGAACTCTGGGGCTGGATGCTGGGCTTTGTGTAAAGGGAAGGAGAGAGAGAGAGGAGTGCTCTGAACTGTACTCTGATGTTTACGTATGTCTGCATTCTCAGCATTTTGCAAGTGAATGAAATGAAATCGGCGCAGCTCCGCGGTGCCGTCATCAGGCAGTGCCCAGCTAGAAGCAGGAACATCTCCCGCCCTTCCAGAGCGCCAACCCCCACCGCAAGCAGCGCGGGGTCCCGCCGTGCAGGGGGCGTCGCACGTGCAGCGAGGGCGCGAGCACCGAGCAGCGCAAGAAGGGCTGACGGCTCGCAGCGCAGCGTTGGCTGCCCGCTGCCGGAGGTCGCTCTGTGCCCGCCGGCTCGGCCCGATGCTGCACGAGGCTCTTAAAGGGGTCGCCCACCTCTCCTCCCCCCCCCCCCAGCTTTTGTCGGGCGCGTTCCCATTGTCTGCGGGACATCCGGTGGGGGGGGTGGCCGCTCGCGCAGATCTGCACGAGATAAGTGTTTGCAAACCCCGTGCGAAAGAAGAACACAAACCACCCACCAAAAAAAAAAAAAAAAAGTAACTTTTAGGGGGAAAAAAAAAAAAAACAAAAAGCAAGAGCTCCTCGCCTGGCCCCGCGGCACCCACCTGCTTCAGCTCGTTGGTGAAGTAGATGTAGGTGACGGCCACGCAAACGGACTGCAGCAGCACCGCAGCCACCAGCACGGTCCCGCAGGTGTGCGCGGGGCTCGGCCCGCCCGCGGGCAGCATCTTAGCGGCGGGACCGTGCGGAGCGGCTCCGCGGCCCTTATAAGGGGCTTCCCCTTCACAGGAGGCGGGGCCGGGCCGCCCCCTGCGTGCTCCCGCCTCCCGGTAACGCTCCGGGCGGCCTTGGGGTGGTCCGAAAGAAAGGCTCGTGAAAAACGGCCTGCGTCCTGCCTCGTTTAACGCAGCTGCTGCGTTCCTATGCTAGAAGTTGGCAGGAGTCGATTAAAAAATGCACGGCTGACGTGGAGGAGGAGCCCCGCCTGCTGGGGGGGGCTGTGCCCCTTTCCATCCCCATCCTCCGACTTCGACTAAAGGAAGCAAAATTCTTCCTTCTCTGTTTACTTTCAAAACGAACAGAAGCACAAGAGAAACAAAAGTGAAAGCATCTGCTGGACGCTCCTGCTTCTCGTAAAGAATCACAGAATCATTACACTTGGAGGAGACCTCTAAGATCCCCAGGTCCAACCCCAAAACATCCCCACTGCCCACGTCCCTCAGTGCCACATCCCCATGGCTCTGAACACCCCAGGGACGGTGACCCCACCACTCCCTGGGCAGTTATGCCACTGCTATCAGAACTGTTTCCTAACATCCGACCTGAACCTCCCCTGGCACAACGTTTTGTCTTTAATGCATGTAAACTCACACTGAAAATAATTTGTTTCAAAGGTTCTGAGAGTATAAGATTTCTGTTTTGATGAAATTCTACTGCAGCAAAACCTCAAGGCCGTGACACCAGTTGGAAAGAATGCTGCCAGCACTTTTTTTAACCAAAATTAAGTTGTGTTCCATGCATAGCGCTGATGGAAGCAGCTTGCTAGCAAAACTTCTGATCCTTCCTGGCTCTTCCTATTAAATCCTATTAAAGCTTGCCCAGGAAAGCCTTTAACAAGGGATAAGCCTTCATCTGTGCTGCAGACACAGGACCCATGTTATTGGTCTGGCAGGGAAGCACCTGGCCTTGGAGCCACAATGCCTGGGAGCTGTTCCTCCCCAGCAGTGATGTTTCCACAGCAGGATGGAGGTTAGTGTGTATTTATTTCTGTACTTCCCTGACTGATGCAGATGGTTATCAGTGCTGTCATCCCACGAGCCCCAGCACAGTAGGCCTGTGCTCATTTTCCAAGGCAGAGAAAGCAGAAGTAACTTTTGGGTAAGCAGCAGTTGGTGATGATGCACTGCAACCCAACTCCTTGGTTGCCCAAGGAGGCTGTGGATGCCCCATCCCTGGAGGCATTCAAAGCCAGGCTGGATGTGGCTCTGGGCAGCCTGGTCTGGTGGTTGGCAACTTGCACATAGCAGGGGGGTGAAACTAGATGATCTTTGAGGTCCTTTTCAACCCAGGCCATTCTACGATTCAGTTCTCAGCACTGGTTTCTCTGCCTAGCAGTGAATGAGGCTGTGCTTTTCATCACAGGTATCAGAAGGCACGAAAGTCAGAGTCCATGCTGGGCAGCACAGAGTTAACTCTGCAAGTGTGGGACAGATCGCATCTTGGCTCCTGCAGTTCCTTTCTGCACCAGATTTAGACCTCATGTTTTGTTGTGAACTGCTGCAAATTCATGAGTTAATCATCACTTGCATTGTCACAGAATTGGAATGAGGATGAATTTATCAGTGTAATGCTCTCTTTGGCCTATGGCATTGCACAACAACAGTGGGCAAGCATCCCCAACATGCACCCACATTTCAAGCTCTGGTCTGGGGCTTCTGTCTTACATTTCAAAATTTTTGTTTGTCTTAGAATGAGATTTTGGTCAAAAAGAAAAGTTTCTAAAAACTTCATGTGGAATAGTTGAAATGATTTTGCAATCTCAGTAACATTTATATCCATTGTTAAGAACTATAGGGATATACTTTCCTGTACATCCCTCGAGATCACGAGGTGGAACTGCAACAGGAGCAGACCCCACAGCGGTCTGGCCATGCAGTGAGTGCTGTTGCACTGCCAGGCTGTGCAGTGGTGCTGCCAAGGGCCTGGGAGTGCAAAAAGTGCAGCCGTGGGTAAGCCTGTCTCTTTGTTACATGAACAAAGTGATAATGTTGAAACGGGTTCATTGCAGCTCTGGAGGTAGCTGTGAAGAAAGCCACGGCACACTGAGCTGCTGCCACTGTGTTTCAGAAAGGGGAAGAATTGTCCTTTGCACATAGCAGTGTCCTAGTGAGCAATCAGGTAAAGCCTCGAAGCATGAAATTTCATTATCTTCGTCACAGATGAGTGCCCTTAACCTCCCTTGAAAATAAAAGGCAAACATTTCTCTTTAGGATGCTAGATCTCTATGCAAAGAAAAGTCTTTTTCAGAGGCTTCTTCACGGTGAAGCACCTGTCACATGCCTGTCTAGCTTTGCCCAGCTAGTTTCAGTCTTCAGGATGGGCTAATGAGTGCGGGGAATAGCTCTGTTTGCATCTTGCACTGCCAACACCTGTGCATGTGTAGGAAGAGGATCTGTCATGTGTGGTGGTACTGGTTGCTGTGGGTATTCCCTTCGGTTTGTTTTCGCTGTGAGGAAATGGCCATTTCAGTGCCATGGAGGCGTTGGGTTGCCTGGTGGCTGCTTTCTTTGTGGGAAGTGGACACTGACTGGTTGCTGAATGCTGTATATTCTGATCTAGATACTCACTGAGATACAAATGTTCTTCTGCCACTTCTTTTATGTCTGTTGAAAGACTTCATGCCGGTAGCTAGAAAGTTTCATCTGCTCAGTCTTTCATGCTGCATAGTTCATATAAGAAAAACAATAACTAGAAGGAAATCTGGCCATGGATGTTCCCATTCTTTAGCTCTGGGACATGGAGGACCTATGGGAGTGAGGTATAGCGATTCTCCTTCAGGAAATACTCTTTGGAATCCTTCAGTGTGTTGGTATCTGCAGCATCTCAGATGCAGTTCTTTTCAGGTTACCAGCTGTGCATTCAGGGGGCTATGAGAGCTCAGGGAAGAAGCAGGTTGGCCTGCACTGGACAAGACTACCCAGAGCTTTGGAGAGAACCTTCTGAGGTCAGTGACAGGGAAGGACATAGTGGTGAAGTGCAGGATGGTGCAGGCTGGGAGGGGAAGCTGAATTGCTGGTGCATGTTGCTGGGCTGTCGGTCAGTGGAGCAAACCTGAAAGGAGACACTGGAATGCAGGGAGCCAACAATATCACAGCAATGATAAAATTGCACGCACTTTAATATTATAGAAGGTGTTGCATAAATGTCATGCAGGAGATGCAGAAGTAGCTTTTTGCTTATGTGGATCTTCAGTTTGTGTTTTCAGTGGTGCTGAATGGCAAACACATTTTCATTCTGCCCTGAAAAATGAGTCTTTATGCAGCAAGAAGCAGAAGCTCCCCACAGCTACCAGCAAACCCAGGATCAGTGCAGCTCTTTGGCCCAACAGCTGCACGGAGGGGACCTGTGCTGCTCCAGCATTTACAGATGGCAAATTTTGCCAGGTGCAAGGTGAGTTTCTGGGCTTGAACAGCACTGAAACACAGAAAACGAAAAGGGCAGAAGGGAGCACTGAAAGGGGAGCTGTCTCCTGGATCAACACGCCTTTATTTTCACCATTCCTACTCCAATGTTATGTAATATTTAACTGAAAAATATAACTATAGCAATATTTAACTAAAAGTAAACTGCTGCCTACTTCACTGAGCTGCAGTGTATTTACTCTTAGGGCTCAGTTTTTTGCTTTGCTGTGCTCAGTTTTTTCAAGTTGAACTCAAGCTGGCATCAGTGTGCGAGAGGAGAACTGGAGTGTCTGGGAATGAAAAGGTTTAACAAACACTTCTTCAGACTCTTTTAAGAAGGATTTCCTTATTTACTCGGGAAGGATGTTCAGAAAGATTCCCCATAATAAACAGCTAATTCCTTAATTCCTGAGGTAGAGGACAAAGTATTTTTAACTATCAGTTTCAGAGCTGTGTGTTTGCTGTATGCAGCCCAGTACTTCATTTTGAATAACTCGCAATACTTGTTTTATTCTCATTAGTTGAGATGTGAGTTAACACGTAAGCAAACCACCGAGACTTCTCTCAGCAAGCAAAACATTCCTGACTTGTATTCGTCTTTGTTCAGACATTACTCTTATTTGTCTGAGTATCAACATTATCAGCAGATTAACTACTATTCTAGTCACTCAGAGCTGCCAGGTAACTTATTAACAGAAGGTTTATTCAGGTAATGCAAATAAAGTGCATTTGAAAACAAAACACCAAATGTCAACAGTTAGAAAGAGCCTTCACAGAGGTGCTTTGAGTCCCATTGAAGACTCATATTTCTTCTCAGATCTGAGTGCACGGTGTTTAGGGATCCACACGTTTCAGATGGTGTTTCCAAGTGGATGTGTAGAGTTGTTGGGTCTTCCTTTAACTGTAAATCAGCATGGGCAGGATTCCTGAACTGGAGAGGATGACTGGGAGGGAGAGGTTGCAGGAGGGAATGTGTAGGGTGTGTGCAAGGGTCCTGCAGTGGGTAGAGAAGAGAAGCCTTGAAAATCCCCACTGCCCCCATCTCTGCAGAGGAGGCAGGCAAGCCTTGTAAGCTCCTCCTTGCAACTCCCAAGGATTTGCTTCTTTTATCATGGTGGCTTTGGAGCTGGGGCAGCAGCAGTGCCTGACCATCCACTCCCACGCTGTGCTGGAGCTGACAAGGACAATGGGAGCCACAATGCAAAGGTAGATCACAGAAGAAGGTAAAAAAGCACGTTTGTACTGACTCTGTTTTCTGGAAGCTGTTTTGCAGCAGGGACACCAGACTGGTGGGGCACAGCTGAGGGCACGACAAACTGCACAGCGCAGCAAAACATGGGAGGAGATGCTTAAAGCAATTTTTCTACTCATGGACATGATCTTGTGATGACTCGTATAGATAGAATCGACCTTTTCTAAACCCCATCTCCTACAGTTGATCAAGGATCTTAGATTGCATGAGGAAAACTTTACTGGTGGAGGAGGAAGATTGGAAATGCAGCAAAGGCATGTCCTGCAGGCTCAACCATCAACTCAGATAATAAAGGAATCCAGACTTCCCTGTAAAATGTTTCACAGTAGTAAAACCATTTCAAAGCTTTTTCCAGATGAGCATTGAAAACTTGTGTTGGCAGATTCTGTAGGTGAGATTGCCATGGAAAGGGCTGCAGAGGGTGTTTGTGTCCTTTTAAAGATACATGGACGCACAGAGATGGATCTGGAGAAGCACAGCTCGAAGTTGACATTGGCAAGAGCTGACAAAGCCCAAAGACGTGCTGGTATAAGGCCTTGGTGGGGCTCAGCTCAGCAGTGAGGAGGCTGCAAATGGGTGAAGCCATGGCAAAGCACACAGCGCTCTGCCCTGTGCTCTTGCTGTTTGCTTTGGATCAGCTCTGTGCATACTAGGGCCACTACAGCTCATTAATCCAGCCAAGAGCTGGACAGTTACCTTGTGGGCTAGTGAGGAAGCACTGGCTTGGGGAAGAGCTCAAGGAGAGGAGGGGAGCCTGCATTCTCATGCTGCTCAAACAGATCGGGAGGAAGATCTGCCCAATGCTCATCCATAATGAAATTAATTTTGGAAGGCAACAGCTCTTTTTGAGAAATCACTCTATTTACAAGAATGGGGATTTTTTATTTTCAGTTTTGCTTTTGTGTTCTTTGTTACTAGCAGTTTCCATTTTAGCAGTGCTTCTTGGCAAAGCAAGTGATAAATACAAACTTGAGTTACACCCATGCTTTGTTTTAGCAGGCACTTCCAGCTGGGCACTGGGACAGTGCAGTGGTGCCCTTTGGGAAGGTCTCTGCAGTCTTCTTCAGCTCCCATGGCTGGTTTATGATGTGGTGGCACAAAGAGTTTGTGTGATGTATTCGAGGGGCAAAGTGGTACAGTGCTGCACAAGGAGCCTTCGTCCAAGGCTGTGTCCTGAGCTCCCCTTTTGTGAAAGGGCTGGGGTCATTCACATGCTCCTTCCACCACAGCTTAACAACCAAGACTTTTTGAGCCATATTGAAACCACGTTGATGTTACTCCATGCCAGTGCCCAGCTGTATAAAGGACATTTGTCTTATTTAGAGAAATACAGCCCCCCTTCCCCATAACACACTTTGGAGAAAGGTGGAAGTTGGAGCTGGGTAAGTGCACCTTGTGGCTGAAGCGTGAATGCTAAGAGTAGGCTGTGAATTTTAACTTGCTCTTTTAACACAAAAGCTTAGCTCCTAAACTAGGAAACAGCCTTCGTACTCACTGCTATCAGCAAGTTCACTGTTTTCACTATTACAACTGAAATAGGAGAACTGGGTGTGTAATTAGTCAGCAAGGCAACTTATAGCACAATATGTTTGCCATCTTCTTCTGCTAGCTGCTGATGGCTCTACATGTGTTATTTAAATTACAGGATAGCAGAGGACACTGAGTTGCTCTTACAGATCTAAATATGAGGATTATCAGGGTTCTTCCATTGGGATTACCCAAGAGGAGAGATCATGGCCAGGACCCTTGCTGGGAGCGGAGACCCCCGGTGTGCTCTGCAGATTTGCAAACAGCTGTATTTCCTTTTCTTCACTTTGTCTTTTTAAGACACAGTTGCCACTGCTGACAAGGAAGGGGTGCTGGTTTTAATTTTGAATCAGTCAAAACTGATAAACTACCCAGAAGTAATGGATGTGCATTTTGAGCACCCCTCATAGCAGTCTGCCTACAGAACCTACTTTCAAGCAGCAATTTCCTCATCTCTCAAGATATCCAGAGAGTAGAAGTTAGAGATGTTTTATAAATATTCCACACATAACCTGTTTTTTTCCAGGCGTATCCTTTTTCTTCACTCAGAAATGTTCTCCAGGGTCATCTGAGGCTGTGACAACGTGCAGAGCATCCCTCAGCAGCCTGCTGAACCTGCAGAAATCTCAGATTTACACCATGTCCATCTTCAGCAGGAGTCAGATTATTTGGGATTTGCACACATAGTCCAGAAAACTGAGGCATACAGGTTTGGCAAATCAGATGGATCCTGCATATGTGCCTTCACTATATGCATGCATGTATTGTACAAGTGCTTATATTCCTAGCTTGAACATTGTGAAGAGAGAAATGACGTTTCTAATTTGTAATTTTTTGGTGCTTATCTTGTTATAAGCGTAACATGCACTTATTCCAAATAAATAATTTGTGTTTCATTCCCAAGGGAGCACAATAGCTAGGCAGGGACAGCAGATTGCAGATAACACGCTTATAATCAATTAGCAGAACAATGCAGTCCTCTGAAGTTTTCTGCAAAGCGTTCAACTTATAAACGTGCACAGAGACGAGGGCAGGAGCTGAGATCTGAACCTGGAGGGAAGCTATGGCAGCAGGAGATATAAACTGGCAAGTGAGGAAGTTTTGCTAAGAGGAAAAAGCAGATGAGAGCACATTGTTAAAAAAAATCCCTTTTCAAGCCTGGCTTCCTGCCTGGAGATTTGGCACTGTGGTTGTTTTGAAAGAAGTCTGTCAATTCCCAGTGCAGTTCCTGAGCTCAATGACTTTCCATCTGGTGGGGCTCACAGAGAAATCCCTTGCTCTCCACCAGATGAGTATCTCTGCCTGCCACGGAATTCAGGCTCCTTACAGAGCAGGACCAACGTATATAGGAGTCCTGATGTAAGTCCTGATGTAGGTTAGCAGTGCTCTACCTCCACTCTGATGTGTGTGTTACTGGGTCTGTCCCTTCCCTCCTTAGGGACAGCCCAGGTGTGAGATGTCCTTGGGTTGACATTCTCAAGCCCTACAGCTCCTGCCACCGCTCATGACGGAAGGAGAAGAAATCATTCTCATGGATGCTTGATCTAGCAGTTGTTTCTTTAGACACCAACTGCATCCAGCTGATGAAGGTGTGTGCTCTGGGACAGATCTGCGAGCCCAGCACTCCAGAGTGCTCCCTGGGCTCCTCTCTGGGTGGTTTTTCTCTAACTTCAGCCACACCATTCAGCCTTCCTACCACAGAGTGTCTCTGTCTTCCAGGGGACCACCAGGCGGAAGAAATCTCAGCACCCATTTCCTCCACAGGCAGATTATGAAGAATTCATGCTTGAAGAGCACTTTGAGAGAACTGAGTTTTAAGACTGAATTATTGAAGCTTTGACAAACCTTTTGTGTGTGTGTGTGTGAGAATTACTCAATACATTGACTAATCGGATAACGTACATGGCACTGCTCCAAACTTAAAGCTTCCATGTCTGCATAGGTATGAATGTGCATGGGTGAATGTACAGCTACCATTAAACACACATATATATCTGAATACCTGTACACAATGTACAGTAATCCTCAGTTTTGCTGCATTTAGCACAATTTTGCTTAATGTGTTTTACATACCCATGATGATATTCATCCCTGATGGAGTACTGCTGTAGTTGAATCAGCTGTCTGTTCAGCACATAAGACACCTGGTATTTAAATTCCTTAACATAGACAGTATATTTCAGATAAAGGCAGCTCAGTGTTTGGTGAGCACGCAGCTCTCCAAAATTGCCATCAGGTTACTTTGCTGGTGCAGAGGCTTGATGTATGTTCAGCATGGGCTTACAGTACCTGCAGACTATGCAGTCTTTATAACATCTATTGCATTCACCTTTATCTTTTTCTCACATTCAGGCCGATAGAAAGCATCATGTCCAAGCTGGCTTCCAAAATTTCTCCCTAATTTCTGCTCTTTGGTGGGGTCTCAGCAGTTACTGCAGAAGGTGAATCCTGTGAAGGTAAGAGGAAACAAGGGGGCTTTAAGTTCCAAGTGATCTGGATTGAGATGTGTTTTCTGGGCAGAAATGTTGAACACAATAAAGCATTATCTCGAGCTAAAGGCTTAAGGTAAAGGTTGCATACTGCTTAAGACACCATATTAATCTAACAGCATCACCAGTTTTGTGTAGCTGCAGGAGTATCTGTCCTTTATCCTACGCAGACAGCATCAGTGAAAGGTCAGCTGGTGGTCAGCATCGTGCTTCGCTGGGTCGGCAGCACAGCTGAATGTTGCCAGGAAATGAACATTTGTACGGCCCGAGGAGCATTTTTAAGGTATGCGTTATCTGTTTGTGAAATCCACTTTTCCAAAAGCAAAATATTTATGTCTGAAGCTTTTATTCCCAGTCATGGCAATGCACTTCCCTGCAACTCTGCTCCGTGTTGTGAGTGCTCTGAGTGGAGGGAAAACAGCTTGATGCTTGGGCTGTGCTCCTGGCAGCTGTAAAAACCGAGTCATAACTTGCACACCAAGTGTTGTGAAATCTCTGACACTGGATGAACGTCGAACAGCTGGATTTCATCCTTTGCAACACCACTTTTTGACTGTAAAGTAGTGCTTATGGTAGTGCTACTTTGAACTGAAGATTGTAAGCTAAATGAACAGGGGAGCAAAGATGTCTGTGCACTGGAGGCACCAGCAGGCACATGCACAAAGACCCCACTATGTAGACATCCCCTGCAGAACCACAGAAGCAATGCAGAGGTGTGCTTTGTGCTCAGAGACACAGCCAGCTAAAGGGATTACCTTCAGGCTGGTGAGAAACATCACACCCTTTGGGAGCTGGTGGAGAGAGTGAGTTGTTGCAGGAGCCCTGTCACTGCAGAGCACACCTGTATGCTGACACAGAGTAGAAGGAATGACCTGTTGATGCTGAAGGAGCCTGCTGTGTGGCTCCCAGCTGCTTGCTCCCATGGTTTCCCCTGAAATGCCTTTCCTTGCCCTGTGCCAGCACTGCATGCACACCCACAACAAGTAATTCATTTGGTGCTTCTCTCCCTGCCTGGAATTTCCACAAAAGTTTTGTTGTTACAGCTGATGGTTTTGGGGTTTGAAATGTGTGCAGATATCTTTGGGATGGCACGTTGGATTCAATCCTGCCCTCATTCCAATTAATACCCAAATTCACATGAAGTGCAGCAGGAACAAGCTTGTTTTATGGCGGACAGCCTGGAAACACTGTACTAAGCAGTGTGGCTTTCCAAAACTAGATGTGATTAACAACACCGCTGTAGTGTTTTGTTAGGCTGGAAGGCCAAATAGTCTGTGGAGAAGCCAAATACAGGCATGTTTTCTTTATAGTCAGCAAAAATGCTTGAAAACCTGCTGAACAGCTGCCAGGCTTTTGGAACTCTGAATGCAATGCACACACAGTTGGGTCAACTGTCTACCAGCATTAAAAGTGAAGCTCTCTCAGAATTAACAGAAATATTTGAAATAATGCCAGCAGAAAAGGTGACCAGCTGTGTTGCAGCTGCTGCACAGAGCCCTGGGGAATCAGGCTTTCCCAAAGAAACCCTGGAAGCTTTGCAGTGTTGATAAATAGCTGCTTACTTTGTCTTCATACACAAGACTCAGGCAGATGAGCAAATTGCTCTGTCACCATGAATGCTGGCACTTTCAAAGTTATTTACTCTGGTGAGAAGTGCAGATCTAGTAGGAAGGAAAAAAAAGCCACCTAGGCTCAAGGAAAAATGTGTATATTTTCTGTTTATTTCACCTTGCAACTGACATGGATTTAGGAACACAGCTGTGGCAATGCATTTGTATGTTTAAACCCATAAGGACTATCCTAACCATAGAGAGTTTACACTCCAAATGCACTCCTGTGTGCGTACAGAGTGCTGTGCAGCACCAGTGGAAATTGTGTGATGGTTCACTTCTGCAGGAGGTGCAGGGCTGATGTCCGAAGAAAACAGCTGAGCACAGATGGGCAAATGTGTTGCTGCTGGGTTTGTAGGAAGGCCTTTGGTTCAAAAACCTTATACCAATTTCACCTACAATCAAGGAAGGAGCTTTCTTAATGCAGATTCCCCATCAATTTCTGACAAATGTTGGGAATAGAAAAGTACACCCACCAAGATGGCTCTGCCCAATTGCTATTCCTCCTCGATCTGCCTGTTATGAGCTTTCTCACACTAGTGTGAGATGCTGATGTGGAAGGGGATACTGTGGCTTCAGTCCTTCTTGACATTCGGGATGCACTTCCCAAGCCTCTTTTTCCACCCTGCTGTGTGAAATCAATTTTGGCAAAATCTTGAGAGAATTAAACTGCAATGGAGTGATCTCTTTGCTCAATTCATATTTGCTGCCTGCCTGATTTATGTTGAGAAGAGGCACTTGGGCATGCCAATTATCCTGTCTTTTATTTGCCTTGTGCATTGAGCCTTTGGCTACTAGAATTAAACTGGAAAATGCAATTAAAAGCATTAGCTGTAGCAAGCATACCACAAAATATCATTATATGCTTGACAATGTTCTCCTTCATATTGTTAATCCCCCCAGATCTACCTGCGCTATTAGATTTCATATATGGATTTTATTTTTCTCAAAAGACTAAATTAATTGGGATGAGCAAGTTGTGCACCTAATTGTGTAAGGAAAGAAAAGGAAGATGTCACTGTACTGAGAACCTCTTGGTAAACAGAGTCTCAGCTGGAGAGCAAACATTATTCAAGCTTCAAATGTTTGTGGGTACCGAGATGATTTATGCTTGGCTTGGCACACCTTGGAAGTTACTGTGTATAAATGAGGTCTGTGGGTCTTTGAGCAGTGCATACCAGGGCTGAACGCTGGGGCCCTTCTCCTCCCTTCCCTCCCAGGTGATGTTCAACTGATCTGAATGCATCCATCCTACCACACACGCAGGTACCAGTGTGGGGAGCATGTGCTTGTGAGACACGCTGCTGGTGTCCTTCAAGGAGCAAACTTAGACGGAAGACAAACTTCCCTTGCTCTTCATTCCCAAGATAAAATAGACCATCATAAAAAGCAAAATTCTGACTCAGCGTGCAGTTACAGTAAGTTGAAAAGGCAAGAATGCACCAGTGTTGAACACAGCTGCCAAATTCCTGTGGTTATTTCCCTGCAATACAGTCTGAGGAGAAAATCAGCAAAGATAAAATAGGCTGAGATGGTATTAACCCTGTAAAGTCTGCAAAGTCAGGTTACTGGCTTTGCCAGCGAGGATCCAAGAATGCTTGATTCTCATACCACTAAGCTGCATGGCCTTCCTTATGGTGAGAATATATGTGAGTCATGTAAGTGCATGCATAACACCTTTAAAAGACATCTCATGATCTCTGATAGAAACACTATTGCAGGAAGGAGTTGCTGTTTCCTTATTGCAAAGACCTGACAGAAGTCCTGCTCACCTTCAGTTTAAACCTTCTCTCTACCTGTGCGAGGAGGAGTTCCACAGAAAATAGATGTCTAAGGCCCAAAGGGGTACATGTGGAAAAAAGAAGAACAAAGGAGAATCGAGACAGGCCCAGCTCACTGGTGACGTGCTATGCCTCGATGTGTGATGACAAACAGGAAGGCTGGCAACTCTGCAGCAGTAAAACAGATTGAACTGGAGAAATGGCAACTTTTTGGCTAGCTGGAGCCTGCCAGGAGTGGCGATATCTCACTGCGTGCTGTTGGATTGCAACATTTCGCCTGTTTCTGTTGGTCCTTGCAGCCTATCAATACCTGAAGGGAACCTACACCCAGGAGGGGAGTAAACTCTTCAAAAGGGCTGACAACAGCAGGACTAGGGGAAATGGATCCAAGTTGAAGGAGGGAAGATTTAGGTTGGATGTTAGGGGGAAGTTCTTTACTAGGAGAGTGGTTAGGCCCTGGAACGGGCTGCCCAGGGAGGTTGTGGATGCCCCGTCCTTGGACGTGTTTAAGGCCAGGTTGGACGGGGTCCTGGGCAACCTGATCTGAATGTGTATGTTTGGTGGCCCTGCTAGGCAGGGGGGTTGGAACTACATGATCCTTGGGGTCCCTTCCAACCCGGGTGATTCTGTGATTCTGTGATTCTGATTCTGTGTCCTAACGGGAAGTATAAAAGGCTGGATAAGCCTGCCGACTTTGCCCTGCTGGACTCATTTCACTTAATGTTTATTGCTCAAGATAGATGAGAGCAAAAACATAAATGAAACTTTCTTCGCTCAGGGGAAACAAAACTTACCTGACTGATACAATCACCCAAGGGTTCTTTGCCATTACTCTGGAGGAGGGATGCAGCTCCAGGAGGGCCCATGGCTGGGTGTATGTGCACACAGGGGCTGCAGCCAGCTGCCCATGCTCGGCCACCAGCCTCGTGTCACCTGGGAAGTATTCCTGCTTCACTGAGGGCTCATTTCTTTATGAGCAGTTCGGGGAAACAAGCCTAGTGATAGGGCTGAGCAGATAACCAAACAACAGGCCTGTTTTCTTCTGAGTTTTCCTGATTGTTTTATTGGTCTCTGGGAAAGCAACAGGTCAGAATGCTTTGAACATACCTGCCTGCACTGCAGTTCGCCTGTTGGGAAAGGTTATGGCAAGATCCCAGTCTGTTTCTATTGTTCCAAGCACTGCTCGCCTTGTGCTGGTGCCAGGGGCTCCTTCACACGCAGATTAGATGAGGTAATTATCCGTGCACCGGCAGAAGCCTGAGTTTCTTGTGTTCCTGCTGCTCCCTCACAGTGACAAAGCTGAGGAGACCCCAGGTCCTCACGTGCCCCATGGCTGGGAACAGCTGGCTGCTCGGTCTGGGGACTCCGTCAGCTGCAGACCCACAGCTCCTAAAACAAACAGGCTTTCTCTTGGCTGCAGCAGGCTGTAGCTAAAGTCTGAATGTGCTGATAATTTCTTCCTTAACGATTAGTGAAGTCTCTCCAGCTGCTGTGAGGAGTAGGGTACTTTCGGAGGGCTTCCAATGCTGCCAGGCTTGGAGCATTTTCAGTGTTGTGAACAGTCAAGGAGAAAAACAGCAGAAATCAGGAACCTTGCTTGAACAAACTGCTGACAGTGAGATGAGCTGCCCTGTGCAGGGCTGGGCTTAGGTGGGTACATGCAGAGGAGTGCAAGAACTGCTCCTGCACCAGCCTCAGCTTGTAGGTTCAATAGAGAGCAAGCCAACACCCTCACAGCTCTGCATCAGAGCTCATAGAGACTTGGCACTTGTACAAGCATTGCTGAGAAACTAACAGCGATATTGGGAGGTGGAATTCCCCTCTCCAACCTGTGGTAAACATCCTCAGCCTCCCATTGCGCCAGGTCCCATGCTGCTGGTGGGAGAGCTCAGCGCAGCTCAATCCCACTCGTGCTTCTGGTGTTGGTTTTTAAACCTTCTCCTGCAGTGACAGTCTCCTGGATCCTGAGACTGACAGCAGTGCTGCTCACAGAAAGGTTTAGGCATTAACAGGAAAAGCACCTTCTGCCTTAACTAGTTTTTCAGCTGGAAAACAGAAATTTGATTACAAATCCTGGTACTGATATTAACTTTTAATGATTTCTATGTCCTGACTTGCTTCACAGGCCAGCTGGTTTTGCTTCCAGCTCTGCATACTGAGTCACATGGGGTCAGGCTGAGGCGGACACCTGCAAGTAGAGTGACGGATTGGAGCTGAGTTAACCAAGCTGCCCTTTGCTGATTACAGAGTGAGTAAACAAGCCTGTTGAGGAAGTGTCAGGAGGAAGAGCATGAAGCTGAGTTTGCTTTGGTGGGCTAACATGCAAATAGCAGGTCCCCTGCTTTTCACAGCTCAGGTGATACTGTTCTAAGCAGGCAGAAGAGAGCAGAGTGGTCTCTGCTGAGGATAAAGGTGTATTTCAAAGCAATGCCAAGAAATACATTACAATTAGAATGTACATTAGGAAGGCCTTAAAAACTGGGATGGGTAGCTGATATAAGTATGAACTTGCACCTGCCTCAAGGTGACATCTCTTTTAGTTCTTGCTCAAACCCAGAAACTCCCTTGGAAATGCCATCAGGTGAGAAGATTACCAGCCTAAAAAATCAGGCTGATGGCACTCGCTGAAATAGGTGGGAAGAAGCCAAATTTATGCTAACAGTCTCACCTTATTTGGAGTGAAAGAAGTATTATAAACCAAGAATCAGTCTATAATCCTTAAGGAAGTGGTTCTAGGTTTGTTACTGTTGCAACACATATAGTGCATGTATGTATGTACATACTTACAATAAGTGGTTCCTTAGAGCATGCTTAAAGATAGATGTTGTCTGGAAGCTTCTGTTTCACCAGTGGCCGCATTGTTCAGGGTAAACCATATGATTGCACGGCCACCTTCACCTCTGCAGCTCTGTCACTGGCTCACAGTGCTCTGCTGTGGAGTTGGTGGAGTTGGACAACATGCAGCGGAGATGGGTCTGTGCTCAGAGAGGGTCTTTCTGTGCAGGACGTCCCGTGTGTGTGATAATCATCCACAGTTAAATCCACAGGGTGCTCTCTAATTAATCTTTTCAGCACCGTTTTTTGGATTCTTTTTGGTGGAGGAAGGATGTTGTGAAACCATGTAAGTAGATACTGAAAGTGTGTTTTACAACCCGCAGCATGTTTGCATGCTGGGAATGGAGGTGCTGGAGCAGATGATGTGATAGCTGTTAATGCAACGCAGAGCGTGTACATGTGGCTGGAGTGAAAAGCATCAAAGGTAACTCATCTGATGGCTAAAACAACCCTCAGCCCCACTACTGACAACACCAGGTGATGCTGGCTGCCATGGGCTGCTTTGGTAGTGGGACTCTTGGAAGGGCCCTTGCACTTGCAGCCAGCTGCCTCACACAGCACGGAAAAGCAGAAATAGCCCAGTTTCCCTAGGTTACCCTTGGGGGTTGGAATGCAACCACTTCCAGGGCCACTCACTTCTCTTTGTAGATTTGGGAGACACTGCTGTCTTATTTCCATGCATCCGTTCTTATATCATTGCATGTGAAGGCAATTAAGGCCCTGAAAATGCAGTGCTACACAACCAGGCAGCTCCATCCTGGGAGCAGCGAGGCAGCCTCCCCTTGGTGCACCCACCCTTTTGGTCCTGCAGGATCACAAGATGCACAGACAGCAAACAAGAGACCCAGATGGCTGCACACATCACAACTGGCTTGCAAATCTGAACTATCAGGGACTGGAGTTGAAAAAATCCTCATGATCTGCCAAGGTCTGAAAGAAAATCAGACTCCAATGGAAGAATGGCACTGGTTTGGTTCTGGTTTTTGCAAGAAATCTCAGAGCAAGCTCAGATCATGAACTCTGCACATCATCCATGTGTAAATTCGTGACTCAGGGGCTGGGCAGACACAAGTCTTGGCGCAGTTCCTGCTGCAACGCCGCATTTCTCCTGTTTTCAAAACACGCTGCGCGTTTCCACGTGAGTCTTTGTTTTAAACGCTCCCTCTGCTGGCTGTCGTGTGAATTAGCAGACAATAATTCACACACCTCAGTCTGCATTTCAGCTGCAAAGTTGTGCCTGGGTTAATAGCGAAAAACCTTTTTCTGCATTTCTCTACCGCGCTCTGAATCCCGCAGCTCAATTGCACCGCACCTGTGTTTGTGGGAGAGACCGTTTTCTATTTACACCAATGATTACTGATGGTTTAAATCTCTCATTACAAGGCGTGTTGCCCCCTTGAGGAGCTCTGCCTCTCCTGCATCTCTGGGCTGTCTTACTATGAAGCACAGCAGTTTAATATAATTTCTCCCTTAACAAATGAAGGTCAAGATGGAAGTATTTAGTGTTGGCTCGTTTACATACAGCCAGAAACAAAGTAATAATGATCAAAAGTTTTATAAAAGCAGTTTTAAAGGGGAGATTGTAGCATTTCTATTTGTTTTTCTTTTTTTTTTTTTCCCTCTCTTGTTGTTGAACAGCTGATGAACACTTTGAAATGCTGCAGAAAACTAGGGTGGAAAAAAAGTTAAACTTATGTGAGGAGTAAAAGGCAGTCCTGGGGTATGTTTGTGACATGCTGCTGGAGATTTATGCAACTCTTATGAAAGAAAGAAATGCAGCTGGACTTGTGCCAAAGAAGGAATTAAAAGCAAGCAGAGAACACGTGCTGTTCCTGGAGACAAACAAAATAGCATGTGGTCCTGATCCAAGGAGGCTTCTGAGCGCGAGGGAAAGGCAAACAGGTATGAAAATAGAACTAGGATATGCACTGGATGAAACTGATTTCAAACATATCATCTATTAGCACATAAAATCTGTTTATAGAGCAAAATGAGGGACGTGAGCTCAGCTGCCTGTCCTGGAGAGAGCAACAGCGCTTGTGCAGGCATCGTGCATTATCCAGTGCAAGCAAATGTAGTCAGCATTTATCAGATATCAAGGAAGAGAAGGTCATGCACACAGAGCATGGACACACAAACAAGGCTTCCTGCTCTGCAAACATCCACCCTGGTTTGAATTCAGCATTTTGGGCAGTAACTGTCACTGACCTCTTCTAAGTGAAAACTCCAACTGGAAGTGTTGCACATCTAGAACAAAAAGAAAAAAGCAAAAAGCAGTGATCTTGAGGAAACCAGCAGATACATTTCACTTTATTTGTTCTTCACTTCAATAGCACGTTTGAATCGCATCTGCTAATTAGATCTTACAAGATCTTTGCCCTGCACAGAGAAAGAAGCAAACAAACAGTCACATGTACGTTACTGAATGCATTTACATCAAGTATGTTGCACTTCGGGTTTTTGAACATCATAAATAAGAGAACTAATTACACCAGCTTAGAGATCAGAGCAGCTTAAGAGGCTTGTCAGGTTAATCTAACATCCTTATTTGAGAAAGTTTCTCATCAAGTTTAATCAGAGATTAGAAATATACCCATGATACAAATCCATATATACAAATTGATATTATTAGTGATTTTTATGCACCGTTACACATTTTCATTTTGCTTCTGGTTTTGAGAAATGCTCAACTCCCATTCTTTAAGAGGCTCTAGGCTGCACAAACAAAAACTTCATTTAGTTCTGTGAATATTGGCCGAAACCGCTGTGGAACTGCTAATACAATTCCCACATCCATGAAGTAGGATGGAAGTGACCGTAGGTTCATGTTATGCAGGCTTTGTCTTTAAATCTTATGATGTTAACTGTAGGAGGGGGGAGAAAAAGTCATCTTCAGAAAGTAGATGGTTGTTTAATGGAAAGGCAATGAGACAAATTCGATGAGTAACTTTTAGAAAGCAGACTTCTCACTACATTTGTGAAATAGTGTTAGAAGCATTTCTGCATCTGATCCTAAATCGTGCAAGGTGCCCTAAACTGCTTTGTGAAACTAAAGGAATGAAGGTGCTACTTACTTCCACAAAGACACTTCAGAAGACTGTAGGATTTTTCTGAATGAGGGTTATTAAAGAAATAAAGCACCACATGAACAAGTAAAGCTTTTTTTTTAACATGCATTAACCTTAATCTCTTCCTGCAGGCACCAGACCTCTGTAAAAATGCTGTTAGTGCTCTGCTTGGGTGCCTGCAGCAGTTCAGCTGGAAGCAATGCTGAACTTTCAACTCTTTGAATGCCCGCATGGGAGAATCAAGCAGGAGGAAAGGTGAGAATGCAACTAACACTTCCTTCAACGTTTATGCTGAATTTTAATCAAGTGTCCTGTGCAGCTACATACCAAAAAGCCTTTTTACTGCTGTAACTTTACCTCTTTTTGTATGCAACAGAAAACGCAATGCATCTTTGCAGCGGTTAGGTACTAAACCATACATGGTAAAAGCAGTCAGGGTACTTGACAGAGCTAGTTAATACTGAAACAGCTCATCCAAGCTGTGCTGCCATCTTGGATGCCATGTCAAGCTGGTGATGACTTAGTAAATACATTCAATCCAGTTATACACTTACTACCACTTCTTGTGCCAAGACTTAATGTGCTTCAGTGCATGAAGGAAATATACAACCAACTGCAGGAATATATATTCCAGCCCTCCATTTCAGTTAAAAAAAAAAAAATACAGCAGTGATTACATTATAACTTCATAGCAGGTATTTATAACTTAGCTATAAACAAAGGCTGATCTAAAGCTCTGCAGCCTGCTCTCAGGTAATGTAGTTGCCACAGAATTGGTAAGAGTGTTAACCATTTTTTTTCCAGTATTACAACTACTATCTTTTAAAGACTGCAAGTTAATATAAATTACACCTCTTCTGACATGGTTTCCTCCAAGTGGGAAAGCCAGGAGAACCTTACTGTTACAACTCAATGAAAAACATATTTTGATTCTTAGTCATGATCAAGCAAGTGTAGCTGTTTGCATACAGTGAGATGGACACTGGTGCAGTCTCCTTTTCAAGATTAGTAATTTATGAATGGACAGGACTTTGGTATCTCTTTTAAACGTAAGTTGTACCTACTGAAGTTGTGTCTACGGGGGAGGAACAGAAGACAGATGACTTAAATCTGTAAAAAAAACCTGAATACTTCTGCAGTGTTAAGGGGATATGCAGGCCAAAGTTTATTCTGATTTGAAATGTCACTTGGCTGCTCTAATTCCACCAAGCCTTGTAACAATCTAGCTTGACAAAGAATCCGGGCCACTGTTGAAACAGCTTTGGCTTGTGACCTCCACATGAACCTATGCTCAGAAATTAGTTCAGCCTGCGTGACTGAGTCTACATTGAGGCCTTGTCTCATTAGCAGCTTAATACATACAGCAACTTAACAACGCGGTGTTTTTAGGATGCAGTGATTGAGTAAAGTCATCCTCCTATTGAAGTTATACATCAGTGAAAGCAGACTGTTCTGTATGTATCTTAAATCACAGGAGGCGGCTTGATTTACCAGGCTTTTCATTTTTCTTTTTTCTTTTTTTCTTAGAAGAACTTTTCAGAAATAATCTCAGGACGTTGTTTTTGTTCTGATTCCCCAACAGGCAAGAGCCCTCTGCTTCCTGGTCTTTCACACAAGGCAGGACAGAAATCAGTTCCCCTCCTAGGAGGACAGGCAGTCCAACAGCGCTGCCTGCAGTGGGGCAGAGTGCTCTGAGGCAGCTGCTGAAGAATGATAGACGGTTAAAAGCTGAAGGGTTTGTTCAGTGCCTGCGATTCGGTGTTGTATCCCTGTGCTTCACTAATGTCTATGAATTCGGCTTCACAACTCCTTTGTGAGGTAGGCAATGACTACTCCCTGTTTCGAAGGGGAAGAAAGTGAGGCACAAGGAGATTAAGTTGTTCTCCTGGGTTCCTACAGGAAGTCAGCAGTAAAGCCGACAATGAATTTAATCCCCTAGTTTAGTCACAGGACAGCCGTTCTCTCTGCCTAGATACAGCGGGCACAAGATTTTGATACAGCCTTCATTTCTGCAAGCAGTAAACATCCTGGAAGATAGACACAGTTATAAGTGGTTTCACTTTGCTGTTCTGCATCTCTGAATATTAAAGAATGGTTCAAACTGCAGAGATGTGCTACACAATGGCTAGATCATCTTAGCTAGCACTTCAGGTTCAGTCTACTAGACAGAAGAGGTATAGCAGCGAAGTTCCAATCTAAGTCTCCAGTACAGATTAGAGCCCACTTCTGTTTGCTGTTTCTTTCCTTACAGGAAGCATGAAATACAATAAATGCTACTAGAACAAAAGAAAGTCAATGAACAAAGACTTCCACTATTAATTACAAACATTAGTGCAAACCACACAGCAGATTATTTTTAGCACACTCAGTATTTTCTGTAAGGAGGTCACAAAACTGAGGCTTTCAAGACTGTCAGTGTCATATTCTTAGCCAAGTAGTAAGCTTTGAGGCTCACATAATCAACCTAGATTCTGCAGCTACACACTTTATTCTTCATATTTCCGTATATGATATAACGTTTTTTAATTTAAAATACTGAAAATATATTCTGTTCTGTGCTTTTATAAAATATAAGCCACTAAAAGTCCATAAAGATCAAATTCCAAAGCTGAATTATGTGTTCAGCTACGAGATTTGCTTAACATAATCTTTACTGCCCAGAAAAGCAATTTTTATTATTTTTAATTTACGAACCATTTCTCTGTGTGCCTAAAAGCCAACACCTAAATCCATTGCTGATATTCAAATGTGCTTCTCTGCTGTCAAAAGTGAGAGGGCTCAGCTTTTCTTCTCTATCAACAAGTGCTCAACACTGCTGAAAATTAGTTCTCCCTTTTTATGCATATTCAGATGTAGATGTAGGTGCTTGGCTTTACCTGGCTCCTTTCTAGAGTTGTGGCCTTTATGCCTAATTAAGAGAGAAAGCTCAAAAGTTTTAGCTAGTTAAGAATGTGACAGGAATGCTGATCTTCTTGCTCAACATTCATGGCTGGCAAGTCATCTGAAAGGAAAAAAAGATCCTGAAGTCTGAAAAACATGTCACAAAGTATTTTGCTGGGCAAGGCCAATTGAGCAGGTGAGCGCTACAGTTAGTGGTCTGTGCTCTGCAGCCACCCCCCTGCTGCAGCTGAATGGATGAAATCGTAATTTGGAAAAGTGCACTTTTTCACTGATTGTTCTTTTACAAGAACAGACACCAGAGCTGAGCATAGTGTCTTCTAGAGAAGCTCTCTCCTCAGAGGTTTTCATCCAACCACTTTATATAGCTGTTTCTGGTCTGAATTCCTGCAGAGAAATCAGTAGGCCAAATCGTGAATATCATACAGCCATGAAAGCAGTCATCAAAGTGATCGAGTGTGACTTCCACACCAGCGTTCTCCAGCCGCTTGGCATACATCACACCGTCATCTCTCAGGACATCGTTCTCACAAGTCAGAATATAAGTCTTAGGCTGCAGCTGCAAAGTCTCATTTTCTGCAAGCAGTGGGACTGCTCGCACGTCAAGCAGCGCTGGTATCTCCTGGATTATTTCTGCATTGCCTGTGGTTTGTACTACAGGCTTGTAGTTCTTTTTGAATGATGAGGGCAGTAGGGATGTCCAATTCAGACGTCCTCTGAAAGTCAGAGCTTGCTGCACATCAAGAGCAGTGTGGTTGTTAATCAGCAGTGAGTGAGCCAAGTCATAATTACCATTGAAATAGTCTATCCAGTAGTTAATCATGACATAACGAGGAAGAACGGGCATATTCATATTCTGCTGATATGAAGGTGTATTGAAGTCAAATGCCTGAAGGACTGGGTAAATTAATGCCTGCAGTTTTGGTCTGAT